AAAAAAAAAAAAAAAAAGAATCAGCTTCCATGTCATCATCTCCTTCAAGAGGCCTTCCCTGATGAGCCTATCTAAAAGAGGTTCCTAAAGAATTCTCTTTCTTAGCTCTTTTTTTCATAGTGTTTATAACTTACAATTATTATTTTTTTCTTATATAACTTGTTTTTGTAATTTGTGTGTTTTTTTCTCTTTCACCAAAATAGCACTTATTTAATTCAAAAAGTGTTTATTTAGGCAATCGTTTATTGGGCATTTACTATGGGGTAAATAACAGCAATGATAATAATAATAACAATATAGCAGGAACTGTTGCAAACTTTTATATGCCTCACCATATTTCATCTTCAAAACAACCAAATGAGCTGAGGACTATTTTTCATCTCTAGTTTTTTACAACTTAGAGGAAGTTGTAGCAAATCTAAAGATTGCATTAAAAGTGGCAGATTTTGAATGTGAAGTTTGGGTCTGTCTCACTCTAAGGGCTGTTCTCTTAACTGTTACAGCTTTGATAATAAGACAATGATCCTTTACTGAATGTATTACATTCCAGTGGGAGAATTCAAATTCTCTTCAGTGTCCTCACCAAGGCTACCTGGGTAACATAAGATGAAGACTGAAGCTTGAAGAATGTATAGCATTTGTAGGGAGAAATAACGAGATCAGTGTACAAATATTAATGGGTAAGAATGTATAGCTTGCTCAGTTAGCATGGCTGACAGGGAAAGATCAGAGAAAACTTTTCTTCACCAGTCAGGCACTCTCTAGTGCAAATGGACTAAAGTGAGCAGCACAGTATTTTTTTATAATGGAGAAACATATTTTTTATAAATGCATCTTGTATATTAGCTACTTTAAAAATATTGGCCATCTCTCAAGGTAAAGATCATGTGTTTGCAACTACTCTAAAAATACCCCCAGAGCGGGCAATGGGTTGTGTTTCTTTTGGCTCCAGGATCAGCACTCATTTGAAGACAACAATTAGCACCTGGAATCTGTCATTTATTCCTTCCAGCTATAGTTTTCAGTCAAGACTTGGAATAGTCATGGAACAATTCCAGGAAATCTTGGCCAGGGGGACTCGGTAAAAATTAAAGCCAAATGCCATGTTTCTCTAATCCTAGAAATGCTGAAGTGAAAATGTCTTAGTAATGTAGAGAACATCAAGAGTCATTATCAGGGAAAAAAAACCTAACAGAATTATCGGTACTTATCTATCTATATCTGTATCTGTATCTGCCGTCAAAAGAATCAATTCAGTACTGGGGTATTGAGCTTGGAGCTTGAACAACCAGAACTCTGGGTCTGAAGTCATAAATAAACAAATCTACATAGTTAGACTATTTTTATTTCAAAATTCAGGTTCTTAGATTTTCAAGACCAAGATAAATGACTTAATGATTGGTGCTTCCCACTGTACAATAATACATTTGGATTGTTTTAAGCCACCGTTTGTGATAATTTGTTTAAAGCAGCTCTGGAAAACTAGTAGAGTGCCTAATAACAGTGATTCAAAATATACAAAGAAAAAACTAACAGAACCAAAGGGAGAAAAAGGAAAAACAAAATCCACTGTCATAGGTAGAGATTTTAAAATATTTCTTTCAATAATTAATAAAGCAACTAGATTAAAATAAAAACAGGAAGGATATAGAAGATTTGAAAAATACTAGCAATCAGCTTGATCTAATCAGCATTTGTGGACTGCAGTTGAACTCACTTTTTTTTTTTTAAGATTTTTTTATTGGGGAATTGGGGGATGGAAACAGCACTGGGAAATTGGGGAAAGGGGAACAGACAAGTTGCTGTCCTTTTGTTCTTCAGTCTAGTTGTGGAGGACGTTGCTTCACTGGCCCAAGTTGGCACCATCATTGCGCTCTTCCCGGGTGAGGCAGATCAGTCGCTGGCCTCTGAACGGCCGCTCACTGTGGCTGCTGGCCGCTCATGCTGGCTGCTGGCTACACACAGTAGCCCATGGCAACCCACTGCCACAGGGGCTGCAGCCTATGCCATCACTGGCGACTCACAGCAGCCCAGCTCCAGGTTGAGTTGTTGTTCAGCATCTTAGCTGTGGAGGGCAGTGTCACTGGCCCTCATATGTGGGATCCGAACCGGGGCCCTCTGGCGTCCCAAGCCAGTTCTTAACCAATGTGCCACTCGGCCGGCCCTGAACTCACATTCTTTTCAAGTGCACTTGGAACATTCACCAAGACAGTCCTATGCTCAGCTGTAAAACAACTCTCAATACAATTGAAAGGATTGAAATTATGCAGTATGTGTTTTTGATGACAGAAATTAAGTTATATATTAGTAACAAAAATATCAATAAAAAACTCAAATATCTGGAAATTAAATAACACACTTTAAAATAATCTATGGATCAAAGAAGAAATCATGAGGGAAAGTAGGAAATATTTTGAATCATTATAAAGATATATCAAAATTTGTGGGATTTAGTAAAATCAGAGCTTAGAGGGAAATTTATAATCTAATATGCTTATATTAAAAAAGAAAAAACATTTGAAATTAATGACCTTTGTTTTTATCTTAAGAAGCTATAAAAAGAACAAATTAAACCCAAACTAAGTAAAATGAAGAAAATAAAGATAAAAACAGAAATGAATGAAACATAAAATAGACAAACAATAGAGAAAATTTACAAAACCAAAGGTGTTTCTTTGAATAGATCAACAAATTTGAAAACACCCTATCTAGAAAGAGAAAGAGAAGGAGAGAGAATGGGAAAGAACATAAACCTCCAGTTTTAGGAGTGAAAGAGGGATTCTCACTGTAGATCCTATAGACATTAAAAGTATCATAAGGAAATATTATGGACAACTTTATTTCAACAAATGTGACAATTGAAATGGACAAATTTCTTAAAAATACAATTTACCAAAAAATGACACAGATGAAAAATTCTTACTATCCCTATATAGCTGGCTCGTTTTGGGAAATCTGGCAAATTCTATATAACTCTGTATAGAAGCCAAGTCAGAGAGCTCTGGGCCCAAATTAAGTTGCTGACTGATGAGGAGGTAGACAGGTTGCAGCTGGAGATCAACCAGATGCAGAGAATCATGAAGCCCAGCTCCAGAATGGCAGCCTTGGCTCACCAGGGAAGCAGGAGGGTGAGGAGAATGAGGA